GCATTAGTATAGAGCTGAGGAGGAGCTCTGGTAGCATAGCGCCTAAGCCACTTGACTGCTCACCAGAAGGCTGGCGGTTCAAACCCACCAGCCACTCGGAAGGAAGGTTGGGCAATCCTACTTCCGTAGTGATACTGCCTCGGAAACCCAAGGAGGGGTCGCTATGATCGGGGCCTACTCGAGGGGAAACAACAACATAGAGCTGAGGTGGTGGTTGGTGTTTTCTCCTCCCCCATCAGAGGGCGCCCCATCTCTTCCCGTACTGCTCTTTTGAGATTGCTTTCTTTTTCTTGGTATTGATCAGTCTCACCCTCTCCGCCTATTTCCCATTTTCCTCCTTTTGCATTTGTTTTCCCACCTACATTCCCAGTTTGTTCCTGCATTCGCAGCTTATTGTCCTCACTGCCGGGGGCGGGGGCGGGGGCGGACAAGTTTGTTCTCCCTCTTTGTATCACTTCTGATTGGTGTTGATGCGTATTTAAATTTTTTGTCCTTTTAAGCTATTACAAGAAGTTTGCATGTTAAAAAATTTTAAAGGAGTTAGAGAAGAAGATATGCTAATTATAAGAACTCAAATACATTATTGATTTTACTGAAGGTTAAGATATTTGAAACCCTTGCTTTTAGGTGCTAATGGACACCTGCAGGGAATGTATTAATAGAAAAGTTACATTTTCTTTCTTTTTTAATAGTGAGTGATCCCTGAAAATATTGTTGAAACATTTGGCACAAAAAGATAACTTTTTCATTGACTTAATGTTCAGAGAATTAGCAAGGGAGGCTAAGATCCCCTTTTGAGTAGGTGCGAGGAGACCGAAAAACTTACTGAATAAGTGCTCAGAGATATAAGAAATTTATTATAGAGAAAGTGATGGCAAAGTAATAGCTAAGAGTTTACAAGATCCGAGCAGGGAGGGAGGCTTCCAAACGGCTGCAGAAGGTGACTAGTCCAGTGGCGGCAGACTGGGCCAAGTCAAGTAACCGAGGACCCCTTCCCAGTTCCCAGGGGTATTTATGACTGGATTTGAAGAGCTGGAGATAGGGGCTATGTCTGTTCCCAGACAGGTGGCACTGTGCCCAGGTTGAAAGGGTCGTAAACAGTGTCTTTTGGCCATCACCCGTGTTTCACTGTGGTAAGACTTGGGGGTCAGCAGCTTAATGAATTGTAGCTATTCAGCAGAAGGGCTCCACTGCCCTCAAGCATGGGAAAGGGGGGTGAGTTAGCAAATTTCACTCTTGACCAAACAAGATGGAGTCTGAGGACCTTTCTGGGGAGTTTCAGGGATGTGCCTCATGTGCTTAAATTGATACTGCCATAACTACTACTAAGAAAGTGTCTTGTAAGAATCTATGAAAACTGAAGGGGTTGAGGTGAGGTAACACCTAGGAAACTGGGAAAGTTAAGACTATTAACTATTAACTAATAGGAAGTAGAAAGGAAAGAATGATTTTGGATAAAAGATAAAGGGTTTAGTTTGGACATGTTAAATTTGAAGTCTCTGAAATAGAAAATGTGAGCTTGAAGATCAGGAGTTAATGAGACACAAACTTTAAAGTAATTTACATTTGAGTTGTGGATGAAGATACAAGATTGATGAAGGTAACCAAAGAGAAATGTTGTAAAGTCACAAGTTTTGGTGTGGAACTGAAATTTGAACACTGAAAGAATAATGAAATGAGGAGAAGCTATTGACTTAGTTTTTATCTTCTGACTGAGGTTGTTAACATCATTTCCACACTCCCTACCCTCAGCCAATTCCTCACACACCCAACCCCGATGCCAAGTTCTGGGTTTAAAACTCTGCTTTGTCCAGTATAAGTTGTAAAAATACCTTTAACAAGGTACTTGACTCTCCAGACTCTTAGTATCCTCATTCTAGTTTTCTCTACCTTACAAAGTTTTGAGGATTAAATGGTGTAACATGCTTTTGTAAGAGACAGCACTATGCATAATGTGGATAGTCAGTATAGGCTAGTTCCCTTCCCTTTTTTCCTACCAAGACTAACTGGCTTCTGTGGCTTGCCAACCTAGAATGGATGTACCCTAGACCCAAAGTGCTACCCAAAGGCCAGGAAAGGGAAGAACCAAGAGGGGCCTTGGGGACCTCAGAAGCGGCAGGATATCTAGGTAAAAAGGGGCAGGAGGCAAGGCTAGGCCCCAAGGCCCCTAGAGCCAGGAGAGGGAGGTACCAGGAGCGGCTGGGGACCACAGAGTGGTAGGTTTCAGGTAGGAATTAGGTAAAAGTAGGGTGCAGATGTTTCCAACAGCAAAGGGAGACAAACTTGTTTGTTAGTTTGTCATCCTGTGAGGCTTGTACCTTGCTGTGAGGCTTGTACCTTGCTGTGAGGCGTGAGACTGTGCCAGTGGTGTTTCAGATGCTGGCAGAATTGCACATGGTACACAGGTTTCAATGCAGCTTACAGGCTAAGACAGACTAGGAAGAAGGAGGAGGCCATCCAGTTCTCAAAAATAGGCTAGAGAAAACCTTATGAATAGCAGAGAAACACTGTCTGATACATTACTGGGTAACTTTATGAATAGCTTGGAAACACTGTCCAACAGAGGGCAGGAAGAAGAGCCCCTTTGTTGGAAAGCACTCAAAATAGGACTGGGAAAGAGCTGCCTCATTAGAGTAGAGCCAACCTTAATAATATGGATAAAGTAAGTCTTTCAGGACCTCCATGTGCTGATGTGGCACTACTCAAATTGAGAAGAAACAGCTGCAAACATCCATTAATAATCAGAACATGAAATGTACGAAGTATGAATCTAGGAAAATTGGAAGTTGTCAAAAATGAATTGGAATGCATAAAGATTGATATCCTGGACATTAGTGAGCTGAAATGAACTGGTTTGGGCAATTTTGAATCAGACAACCATATGATCTATTATGCCAGAAATGAAAAATTGAGAGAAATGGCATGGCATTCATCATCACAAAAGATGCTTAAAGATATGTCCTGAAGTACAATGCTGTCAGAGATAGGATAATATCTGTATAAATTTATGCACCAACCACCAAAGCAAAAGATGAGGAAAGTGAAGATTTTTATCAGTTTCTGCAGTCTGAAATTGACCAAACATGCAATCAAGATGTGTTGCTTATCACTGGTGGTTGGAATGCAAAAGTTAGAAATGAAGAAGAATCAACGGTAGTTGGAAAATTTAGCCTTGGTGACAGAAATAACGCTGAAGATAGCATGATAGAATTTTGTGAGACCAATGACTTTTTCATTGCAAATACCTTTTTCAGCAACACAAACAATGGCTATACACATGGACTTCACCAGATGGAGTGCACAGGAATCAGATTGAATACATCTGTGGCAGGAGGTGATGGAAAAGCTCAGTATCTTCACTCAAAACAAGGCCAGGAGCTGATTGTGGAACAAACCATCAACTGTTCATATGCAAGTTAAATTTGAAGTTGAAGACAATTAAAACAAGTCCATGAAAGCCAAAATATGATCTTGAATATATCCCTCCTGAATTTAAAGAGCATCTAAAGAATAGATTTGATGCATTGAACACCAATAACTGAAAACCAGAAGAATTGTGGGATGACATCAAGAGCATTATCCATGAAAAAAGAGGTCATTAAAAATATGAGAAAGAAAGAAAAGACCAAAATGGATGTCAGAGGAGACTCTGAAACTTGCTCTTGAGCGAAGAGTAACTAAAACAAATGGAAGAAACGGCAAGATGAAAGAGCTGAACAGAAGATTTCAAAGAGCAGCTCAAGCAGACAAAGCCAATTACTATAATGAAAGGTGCAAAGACCTGGAGTTTGAAAACCAGAAGGGAAGAACACGCTCAGCATTTCTCAAGCTGAAAGAACTGAGGAAAAAATTTAAGCCTCAAATTGCAATATTGAAAGATTCTATGGCCAACATATTGAATGATGCAGGAAACATCAAAAGAACATGGAAGGAATACACAGAGTCGCTGTACCAAAAAGCACTGGTTGATCTTCATCCATTTCAGGAGGTGGCATATGTTCAAGAACCAATGGTATTGAACGAAGAGGTCGAAGCTGCACTGAGGGAATTGGCGAGGAACAAGGCTCCAGGAATTGATGGAATACCCATTGAGATGTTTCAACATACAGATGCCCTGATGGAGGCACTCACTTGGTTATGCCAAAAGATCTGGAAGACAGCTTCCTGGCTAACTGACTGGAAGAGATCCATATTTGTACCCGTGATAGTTGGAGCTGTGTGTCAACTTGGCTGGACCCCAGTTCTGTGTGGTTTTTCCCATGATGGGATCAGATGATTGTGTTCTGAGTGGCCAATCTGCCCAAGGGGAGTTTCCCTAGGGGTGTGGCCTGCTTCCAGGATATCCAGGGACATCCTGGGAAGAGAGACATTCTTTGAGGTATTGGAACCCTGGTGTGCTGACTACAAACTTCCGTGAGTGAGCAGCCCACTGCTCGACCTGGAGATCTCGGATTCATCTTTTGTTGGAGTCAACAACCAGTGTACTGCCTGCCAGCCTTGAATTTCTCGGCCCCCTGCACTTGCGGAAGCTACGGCTGCCACCAGCCCATTTCCTCCAGGGACTTTGGACTTGCCGGCTTCTATACGCTTGTGAGCCATTTTCCTAAGATAAATTTCTCTCTCTCTCTCTCTCTCTATATATATATATATACACTTTGCTGGTTTTTGTGTTTCTCTAGAGAACCCAATCTAACACATTTCGTACTGAGAGTGGTTCCAGAGAGACAAAATC